TGGGCTCCCTGCTCAGCGGGGAGTCTGCTTCTCCCTTTGCCCCTCCCCCCCAGCGCGTGCGCTTGGTTGCTCTCTCAAATAAATTAAAAAGTTCTCTTTGAGCAATCAAAATACAAATAACAAACATATAGTTGCTATGGAGTAGGTGTCTACATATGTGCTCTCACAGAACTCTCTTTTCTTTCTATGTTTTAGGTACTTTTTTTCTTCTACAACAGAAATTCTTTCTTCTTATGAACAGTCCTAAAAATATTCAATTACAAAAGACAAAGCAAACCGAACAAATGGGAAAACATCACTTTCATTTCCAGTACTCAGACCACCATTATTAGCATATTGGTGTATTTCTTTTTTTTTTTTAACTGAGGTATAATTGACCTACCGTATTAGTTTCAGGTGTACAACACAATGATTTAATATTTGTATGTATGTTGAAATGATAACCACAGTAACTCCAGTTAACACCCATCATACTTTGTTACAAAATCTTGTGATGAGAAATTTTAAGATTTATGCCGTTAGCAACTTTAAAATACGCATTGCAGTATTACTATAGTCACCATGCTGTATATTATATCCCTGTAATTTATTTACTTTATAACAAAGTTTGTAACTTTTGAGCCCCATTTGCCCACCCTTCACCCCTTGCCTCTGGCAGCCAATCTGTTCTCTGTATCTATGAGCTTGTTTCTGTTGTAAAGATTCTACCTGTGAGCCAGACCTTGTAGTATTTTACTCTGACTCATTTCACTTACCATAATGCCTTCAAGGTCCATCCATGTTGTCACAAGCGGCGAGATTTCATTCCTTTTTATAGCTGAATAATATTCCTCTGTGCATATACAGACCATATCTTCTTTATCCATTCATTTGTCAGTGGACACTAGGTTGTTTCCAGATCTTCGCTGTTGGAAATAATGTTGCAGTGAATATGAGAGTGCTTATATCTTTCTGAATTAGTGTTTTTATTTTCTTCAGATAAATACCCAGAAGTGGAATTGCTGGATCATGTGGCAGTTCTAGTTTTAATTTTTTCAAGGAACCTCCATACTGTTTTCCGTAGTGATTGCACCAATTTGCATTCCCATTAACAATGCGCCAGGGTTCCCTTTTCTCCACATCCTTGCCAACACTTGTTGTCTTTTTGATTGCAGCCATCCTAACAGGTGTGAGGTGATACCTCATCAGGGTTTTGATTTGCATTTCCCTGATGATTGGTGATATTGAGCACCTTTTCATGTACCTGTTGGCCTCTGTATGTCTTCTTCGGAAAAATGTTGATTTAGAACTCATTTTTTAATTGGATTTTTTTGCTATTGAATTGTAGGAGTTCTTTATATATTTTGGGTAGTAACCTCTTATCAGATATGATTTGCAGATATTTTCTATTTAGTAGCTGGCCTTTTCATTTTGGTGATGGTTTCCTTTGCTGTGCAGAAGGTTTTTAGTTTGATATTGTCCTACTTGTTTATTTTTACTTTTGGAATCATATCCAAAAAAATCACTGTCAAGACCAATGTGAAAGAGCTTATTGCCTATATTTTCTTCTAGGAATTTTATGGTTTCAGATCTTACATTCAAGTCTTTAATCCATTTTGAGTTCATTTTTGTGTATTGTGTAAGATAGTGGTCCAGTTTCATTCTTTTGCTTGTGGCCGTCCAGTTTTCCCAACACCATTTCTTGAAGAGACCGCATTTCCCCATTGCATGTTCTTGGCTTCTCTGTTGTAAGTTAATTGACCGTATATGCTTGGGAGGGGGTGTTGTTTTTGTCACTCTTGTTTCTAGTCTGTTGTTTTGTTTGCTTGTTTTTCTTATACATAGTTGAGGGCATACTGCTTGAATGACTTTTTCCCACTACTTATTTCACTTAGTATTTTCACATAAACCATAAAATATGCCAGGGAGTGGGGTGGTGAACCTTCTCTTGACACTTCAGTGGAACGCTCTTAGCAATCCATAGCAGTGTGTGAGAGGAGTGTGAGAAAGGAGAAATAGTTGAGCAATTTGGCAGAGTTACAGAGTAGAGTACACAGAATTGTAAGAACTAATAGCTGCTAAGCATGTCAGGCCTCTAAATTCCTTGGAATGTTTCCCCATGAACTGGAGTGAAGGTGTGCTTGATCAACTGCCGCTGAAGTTAGTATTTTAGGCACTTGGTTTCCAAGAAGTATTAATGAAATATCTGGCACTTTGCAAGTTGTTAGATGACTAATTCTTTGAGTTGCTGTTTTCCAAGTGTGTGATCTCCTCCCTTCCTTTCTCTTCAACCTCATCCCACATCACTTTCCCCATTTCTCAGCATCTTTCCTATAGGCACCATGAATGCCTTTCTGTAAATGTTCTGAGCACCTTCTTTGTAATTGCTGTCTGAAACACTCCCTCTTCCCCCACCCCCCCAACACTTTGCTTTTTGCTTGGAAGTTTCCACATTCTTTCTCTCTTGGTCTAAATGGTGCTTCCTTAGAGGTTCCCCTTGATCTCCCTTTATGACCAGTTTATTATTGTGAGCAGAAGTCACCTTCATTATATTCATGCATGCAATGAATTGTTTAAGAACACTTCTAATAAGATGTTTCTAAGAAGGAGTTTGCAAGCTGTGTTCACACAGTGTTATGTCGGTAATGGAAGTGATACCCACTAAATAAGCATAAAGTATTTAAGTACATTTGTAATACAGAGGTTTCTAAGAACACATCCTGCAAGCACCATAGAGAACAGTGTTATGTAGGTGGAAACTGCACCCATTCTAGGAAGAATGAAGTGATGAATTCACTTATAACATAGATGTTTCTAAGACAGCTACTTGCAAGCGCCCTATGACAAGTGTTATATTAGTGACTGGAAGTTCTCCACATGTTGTAATATATGTATTATAGTGTTAAGATCACCTGTAATAAGGATGCTTCTAAGAACAACAACAAACAAAAAACAGGCCCTTTGTGCCAGGAAACCTTTGTACAATCCTCCCTCTCTACACCAAGACTCTATTTACCGTGTAACAGTCCTTCAGCTAGAAAAAAAGGGGGCTGACAAACTGCCATAATGTAGTACTATCCTATGGTACTGTAAGATTTGAGCTGTTCCAATCCAGAGATAATTTGTATAAGTTAGAAGAGAACAAAAAAATGATTGTTCTGTAGAATTTTTTGAACTTTATGTCATGAGAAATGAAGCATGTTTGCCTACAACTTTGTAATATATCTAGTAATTAAGAGGCAATCTCCCTCTTAGAGTCCTAAAGGAAGAAAGGAAAGCTATACATGCATTGCCATGAGTCATATGGGTGTACAAGAAGGTAGCCAGTTACCTCACCCCCTAGGGCTCCTGTGACGGCAGTGTGTCCCTAAAGCTTGTCTATTGACCAGCTTCTCTTCTCCCATCCCTTTCAGGCTGGGTATATGTGAGTGTATGTATGTGTGTGTGTGTGGGGGGGGGAATGGGTTTTCACTGTTTGGACTTTTGAAACAAAAAGGGAAAAACTTTAAAAGTAGTAAGCTAAAAAAAAATCAGTGCAAATATTATGGGATTGTTAATTTAAAAAAAATCTTGCTAAAAATAATAGGAATAGTGTTGAAAACCCTCTGACTGATATCTGTTCCTTGGCATTCGACTTCTTTTACTCCCTGCCTTATAAAAATATAGTTAATGAGGTTCTGGCAAAGAGAAGGGAGTAGCCCTGGTCTTTGGTCAGGAATTCCCCTTCACAGATATTCCCACATACCCCCCACCCTCCAACCCAGTTACTCTTCAGGACATCCTCTGGTGTTTTTCCTTCGCAGCCCTCATCAACATTTAGAATTGTAGTATGGATTTATGTTTTGTGTGGTTTAATGTTTGGCTCTCTAGTTCGAATGCAGGCTCCCAGACGGTCAGGTCCTAGTTGGTCTTGTTCACCCTTTTAGCGGTCTCCCTGGCCTGCCATGGTACTTGGCATATGGGGAGCAAATATACATTGAATAACTAATGCTTTAAATGACTCTTTTTAAAAAGTAGACTCTTAAGCTCTGTCCCAGTTGGTTCATTTGAGGAAAAGGATTGACAAAATGAGTTTCTGGTAAGATTTTCACATCCGTGCAGTAAACACTTATTGAGGGTCTGTCACCAGGTCAAACCTTGGAAATGTCCCATGAATAAGGCTCGGTCGATGCCCTCCAGGACCTCGGAAACTAGCAGAGGCACACACACACATGTATGTGAATAGCTGCAGTTCTCTACAGAAGAGTGTAATGTGCACATGAGCCTTTGGAGAGTACAAGGAGGAAGGATTTAATTCACCTGGGGCGTGAAAGTTTTCAGCAAGGCATGATATTTACATTGGGGAAGACGGGAAGAAGAAGAAGGAAATAGGGGAAGTTTGGCAGGTTAATTAGTAGGAACAAGAGGATCCCAAGCTGGGGGTGGGGCCGGAGATGTGAAAATGAATGCCATGGTTTGGACAGTATTTGTGTGTTTTGGGTGCTGGGTTGAATCCTGCACCAGGGAGTTGGGATTTGATCTTTAAGGAGCCAGGGAACCCAGCTGTGGTAAGAATTGTAGATGGAGTGCAGCAGTGGGCAGCCTTCGCTGGAGGGGAGTTGATGCTGTGGTTAGAAAGTCAAACCATTCACTGCAGTTGCAGGCATTTTCCATTAAAACCGCCTTCATTTTGAGTTCATAATGTATCTTTCATAGAAACAAATTCTAGAATTTGACAGAGGTGAATATTTCGCTAGAAATTGGTAGCTTTTTTAAAATGTATTTTCCAGGCAAAGACTTTTTAATGTATTTTTATGTTGAATTTTAGAAACTTTTGGAAAACATTTTCAAAAATTGTACTCAGATAAATGTTAAAGTCCCTATAGAATAAACATCATGAATCTTAAAGTGACATGTAATGAAATATTTTGGATTCTTCCAGATGCGTGAAATGCCTAGGTCTTCTCCTGCTAGGCCCTGGTTAAGGCATGCGTCTTTATCAATACCTCACCCAAACTAGACCAAACCTCTCTCTCTTGCAGTTCCACGGCAGCCTTCAAACGACTTGTTTGAAATATTTGAAATTGAAAGGGGAGTCAGTGCAGATGATGAAGCAAAAGATGATCCAGGTAGATCCTTACATTTTTAGCATGTTATGACATTTTATTGTTTCCTTCCATTTCCTGAAAATGACTTTTAAATTGTAGATTGTTTAGTTACATCTGGGAGAAGTGTACTTTTTTTTAACAACTTGGTTTCCTCTGTAGTTATACAGTCGTTGAGTGAAAATAATTACATATCATCTTTTTAAAAAAATATTAAAGCAGCACTTAAACTATGAAGAGGAAATCCTATTTTGTAAGTGATGATATAACAAGGTCATAATTTGGCCCCATTGTTGTGTTCTATTTTTACAGCTGAACACACATGCATGATTTTTCTAAGGAAGGATTCATGTGCTCTTCCTTTGATCTCATGGAGGGAAGTTCTGGTGGGATAGTTAAATGTGGCTAGAAGAGTACACGTGTACAGATCGATAACCCTAGTTCACTAATTTGTTTTTACAAATTGTGCCATTGTGGTCTACTCATCTTTCTGGTCATTTTCTTGTAGGTGTCCTGATACACAGTTGTAATTTTGACCATGGGCTTTGTGGATGGATCAGGGAAAAAGACAGTGACTTGCACTGGGAACCAGTGAGAGATCCAACAGGTAAAACCAGTTAATCTGTATCCATTTGATCCTGTCTGGGGACCCTGGTTTTAACAACCAAGAATACTATAACATATCTCTCTGTTTACCCTCTTTCTTCAGTAAAGAAAGATCTCGTCCAGCATTATATATTGCATATTTTTTAAGTGAACTAGTCAGCAATAAACTAGAATTATATTATGGGACGATAAGTAGTTCATTAAAAAGAGCTTGGTAAGTAAAACCTTTAGATTCATTCTAACATAGAATTTTCAAGTTATTTGTTGTGCCCCATTCCCAGGCATGAGAGAAATAATATAACACCAGGCCTGGTTGTCATCCCCAGTTGTTTCCTCAACTTTGTCCTTTTTTAAAAAGTTGTGACACATTGCAGAAAGAAACACTGGACGTTTCTGTGAAGTTTTGAATATTTCTCTGGAAAAAAATTTCCACCTAACTTAGATGCTGAAGAAATTGGTTATAAATTACCACCATTTATTCCACAGGAGAATGTTATTAGAGAGGTAGATTGACATAGTTCCTTGGAAAATTAAGACTTTTAATGTTTCAGTGCTTACAAGATGTTTTGTCATCTTGTTTCAGAAAGCAAAGTTACGCGTTGTTCTTGGTTTTTTTTTCCTCCCCACAGTAATTAAATCTTTTATGGGTGGGGCCAATTTAATGGGAGGGTGAGGAGTTAAATTTGTTTTCTTCCTTTTATACTCCTGGTTCTAGACTTAAGAATGAAAGATACAAGACATGAAGAAAAAGTGTGTTTTTTATTTTAAAAGCCTAGTTCTTGAATAGCATCTCAGGTATATAGATAGAGCACAAAACATAGAAAAGTTAACTTGAGGGAAGGTATGCTCTGTTAAACCAGTTCTTAAACTTCAGTGTGCATACAGATCAGCTAGGAGCCTTGTTAAAATGTAGATTTTGTTGTATGCCTAAATGCTCCTTGGAGATACCTATGGTATTAGTCCTTGTTGCACATTGTGAGTACAGAATTATTTAAAAAAAAAATTAGCCCAAAAATATATTCATTAGATTCCCCCTAAGGTGGAAATAGAACAGATTTTTAAAAATGAAAATTTGTGGACACCCGGGTGGCTCAGTCAGTTAAGTGTCTGACTCTGGATTTTGGCTCATTTATGGTCTCAGGGTCCTGGGATCGAGCCCCACGTTGGACTCCCCACTCAGAGGGGAGTCTGCTTGTCTCCCTCTCCCTCTGCCCCTCCCCCCACTCATCCATGTAAAATTCTTGATTTTTAAAATTTCTGTATTTTGTTGTAGAACCAGTTTTGTATTTTAACACTTTTTATTATTCATCACATATGTAAATGTTTTAAATTTGAGGCGATCCAAATTCCACTTGCCCTCTGCTAGAAAGAGATGATTGGAAATTAGAATGGTAGACAAAAAAAATGTGAAACAGTCATTTGGCAATGATAGAACAAATTGAAAGGAAGTGGTGGCTGTTTGTGTGACTGGGTAGCTCTTGATGATTGTCTCTGGCCCCTGTGGGGGGCCATTCTTTCTCTGCTTTTGTCCCTTCCCCTCTTCCCTTCTGCAGATAGCTAGGATGCAAGAGGAAGTTACTCAAATAAGAGGGGTGAAAGCCTTTAGCATTTTAGCGAGTAATTATTAAATCAGTTTGAATGAAACCTCTGTCATCACTGTCAAAAAGTTGGGTCATTTCCATAGAAATAGGATATTTTTTCCCAGAATGGCAAATCCACTTTGGCGGGTTCTTTCTAGTCTGAGAAGAACGGAGATAATTGTAGGTCACTTCTAAGAACACGACCTAGATGGAAAGGTATCTCAAAGCCTGTGGGAAAACAAGTAAAGAAACCAGAATGTGCAGCTCGGAAAAGAAATAATGGAGCAAGACTGCTCTTCAAATATTTGACCAACAACATCTATCACAGTTATTCTGGAACCACAAGGGGATGAGAAATCAGATCAGTAGGTAAAAGCTAGAGGGAGATCAATTTGGGTTCACTCTCAGAAAGAACTTGCCAATCGTCAGAGCTGCCTAAAAAGAGAACAGGATGACTTGGAAATAGGGAGCTCTCCATTGGTGGAGGCGTTTGGGTGACATGTAGCAAGATGTTGTTTTGAGCATTGGGTAAGTGTTGGATTAGAAAATCTGCTACACCTCCTCTGAGAGCCTCTGGCTCAGAATGGAATGCTCCCAGGTCTTCCCAAAGAGATTGCTGAAGCAGCCGGGCTCTAGCTTGGGAAGCGGATGGGAGGACCAAAGGACGGCAGAGGGGAAGATGGGGTAGGAGTGCATGGCATATGTCAGGCTGGAATTGCAGAGGAGCTTTTTAGAATATGTTGGGGAATTCTAACCAGATACTGATGGAAAAATACTAATAAGGCTGATTATGAAAAATGCCTGTTTTTCTTCTAGGAAGTTCAGGGATGTGAGTGTGTATATATCCCATGCTAAGACTAGAGAAGAATATAACCAATTTAATTATTTGTGTATTATCTAATTACCAAGCTAACTTTTTTTCTGTCTAGACTGTACCATTTGTAAAGGAACGTATGTTTGGATTTCCACAATTATGACTGATTTTTAATGTGCATTTCTTATGCAGATATTCTCATGCTAATAAAACTTTGAGAAACACCTGCAAAGTACATTCATTTGCTAGCTGCTTTCCTGGTGCTTATTAGGTTTTATCCCATTCGGTCTTGAACTTCATTGTGAAATAGTGAAATTAATACTTGCCTCTAAGAGATAGATAGAAGACTGCACTGCTGACAGATGTGGTGACGCCCTGAAGACACACCCTTCTGTAAATGTCAAGGCTGGACCCCGGGGGCCCTTTTCCTGAAACGCTGATCTCTGGGGATCAGGATTAAAGGAAACTGACTCAGTTCTGTGTCTGCTACTGATAGCTACAAGGTAGTCACTTTAAAATATATGGCGACCAAGCCAGCTTGTACATGCAAGTATGTCTACTGCAGCATTAAACATTATTTTGAAATAGACATAAATAGAAAAATCAACAGTGAAAATAAAGGCTTCCGCCCCCAGCCCTGGCTCCTAGTCACCCTCCCCAGATGCAACCAGTTTCTTGGTTATCTTTCCAGAGATATACTTTTCTACACAACAGCCCCCTGCCCTGTACCTTGCTTTTGTCACTTAAAGATTATATCTTACAGAGTTAATACACATGTGGACTTTGAAGCCAGAAGGCTTGGGCTGAAACCTAGAGCTACCACGCGCTAGCTTTGACCTTGAGCAGGGTATTGAAATGGGGAGAATAGTGTCTATTAAATGTATGTAAAGCATTTAAAGCAGTGCCTGGCCCACAGTTACCATTAAAATAGTATTAGCCATTGTTGTTGGAGATTGTCCTGCATCAGTACATACAGAACAACCTTACTGTTCTTTATGGCTGTTACTCCATTCCTTTTTAGACGTACCACATTGTGTTTAACCCACCATCCACTGAGGCACATTTCAGCAGAACAGCGCTGCAGTGAATAGCCTTGTACATGTATCATTTCGTATCTGCTTGAATGTAGGATAAATTCCTGGATGTGGAATTGCTAGGTCAAAGGGAATGGGCATTTTGAATTTGATAGTTTTCTCAATTGACCTTCATAAGAGTTGTAGCAATTTATGCTCTCACCAGTAATATTTAAGAACCATCCCCAATAGATCTTATTAAACTATTTTTTTTTATCCTTGCTAAGCTTATAGGTGAAAAGGCATCGCCTTTTAATTTTGATTTTCTCTTATATGAAAAGATGGCCAACTTTTCACAGTATTTAAGTAATCTTTTTCTATGATGCCCTTTATTTTGTGTATTTTATTATTGATTTTTGTTATTGATTTGTGCAGTTTATTTAAAAAGGGAATTTAGTCCTTTTCATGTTTTGCAACTATTTTTTTGCTTGTCTCACTGTTTTATGGTACTTTTTTCTTAAAAAAGTGAAAATTTGGGGGGCACTTGTGATGAGCACTGGGTCTTATATGTAAGCGATGAATCACTCAACTCTATTCCTGAAACTAATATTACATTATATGTTACCTAACTGGAATTTAAATAAAAACCTGAAATTACAAAAGAAAAATAAAATTAAAAAGTGAAAATTTGGAAACTTCAATAAGAAATTGGCTGAATTATTAATGGCATACTTGGAGCTATGAAGAATGGCTGATATATTTAATGAAAACAAGTTATTACACTGCAAATAATGTTCATATTCATGTGCATTAGTGTTCATGTATTTACATAGGAGAAGTTCAGAAGTTAAAATGTTAGTAATTATCTCTGGTTTTTGGGATCATGACATATTTAAATTTTCTTTATGCTTTTCTATTTCTTTTTTCCTGCAGTGGACATTACTGTATTACTTTCCCTTAAAAAACAAAAAATTAAGCTCCTTGCATTTGAGAGGTAAATACCAGCAAACCATAATGATCTTAGTTCTACCTGGGCTGGTTTCTCAGCTAGGCCAAAAGATGTAAGAAAAAAAAAAAAAATCACTCCAAACCTCCCCCTCATTTATATGACCACACAGTTAACAGGTAAAGTAACGGGCATTATGTTGTTCTCTTCGTAAATTGAAATTGTAAAGGCACAAACCAGTACAGAGTTAAAAATAAATACATTTAAATTTTATCACCTAACTTTCTGGCAAGTTTTGGGGTTTTTGTTTTTGTTTTGTTTGTAAAAAAATAATGCTCCAAAAACAAAACAAACCAAAAACTAGATATTATGATGCTTTAAACTGAAACCATGAAAATATTTAATGTAATTTTATATTTAAACCAGTATTTTGGAATCTGAAATAAAAATTTTATTTAATAGGTAACTTGTTTGGGGTACTAGATCGGTTTTTCCCCTTAGCTACTATTCCACCCACGTACCATTTCCTTCTATTAAAAAGGGAAAGAATTCTTTGTGGTAAAACGAAAACCTGGTGTCCACAGAGCAGCCCCATAGAGAAAGAGCAGTTATAGCCTCATTTATCATGATTTACATTTTAGTTTAAATACCTATACAACAGGACTATTTGGCTCTTATTAGGATGCCTTGGTTTGTTAGGCTGTCTACAGGCCGTGTCTGGCATAGTGATATTAGTGTACGTTCCACAGGGTTTCAAGGTAATCCTTGTTTTCTTAAAACTTTCAGGTTTAATAACCTGGTTGTAATAACCTTATATCTTAGTCTTAACCCAACCAGGTTGTAATAACCTTATGTCTTAGTCTTAACCCAAATACCTGTGATGATTCAAAGCTGACTTATAGGGAGACATTTAAGCCCCATCTAAATGTTTTGGCCCAAAATATTGTTTTGATGAATTTGACAGGGCACAGGGTGGGGAAGGAGGATAAATTCTGTGTGTGTTTCTGGTGAGTTAAGTACATGCTTCAAGGACCTGTTGCCCTGCAGGGTTTTTTGCCATATTCTTAGAACATCTTTTATTCAACAAATGACATCAAAGCCCTACATAGGCTAGGGTATAAAATGGGGTGGTTTGGGGGAAAGGTTGGTTCTGACATCAAGTTCACGGTCTCCTGGGGGACAGAAACCCGTCAACCCGTGATTCCAGTCTGAGAGCAGCAAGGGCTGAATAGGGGGTCAGGCCATTCTGAGCTCAAAACATTACCCTACCTCTCACTGGCAGAGCTTTATCTTGGGTGCCTTCACCTCTCCAAGTCTTTGCTTCTGCAGCTGCAAAACAAGCCAAATGAGTGTTCCCTTCAAAGACTAAAGATGCTCCCAGTAGAGAGGCTAATGAGCCTAGCACAGGCGGACTATACACAAATCACTGATTTGGTCCTTTGAATACTCAGAGGGGACTCAGTAGAGAAGTCACTTGAAGAATAGGACATCCCCCAAATTATCATGTCTTACGCAGAGTAAGCATAAGAAAGAAAGGATGGTGTATCTTTTAACTGAGAAATAAGTAGCATTTCTACCAAAACAGGTACAGGTGTTCAACATTCCAACCACATATTTCTTAGGGATAATTCAGTGCTGAAACAGTGTTGTTTTTCAGTTGGCTGTAGTAAAACAGCTGGGGGGAATGTCATTTGCACATGGACTGAGTTTCAAAATACTACTTGCAACTTTCCCTGTCTTGAGAAGGGGCAACCCCCACTTCACTGCTGCTTAAGCTACCCCCAGCCCCCACTTCTCAGTGACCGTGGTGGTTACTCTAACAATAGGGGAAAGCAAACCCTGCAGCCCTAGGGATCTGAGGACATCGTCAAAGTGACCTGTCCAAAGTGCAAGTTTTCCTTAATGTTTTGTGTACATGTATATGTAATAAAAATTTATATATTAATTATATATAATATAGATTTGTTTTGATATAAAAGTGTCTTAAACTGCTTACCTACAAATAAAATTGATACTCCAGAAAGATGTAGAGGTTTCCAGAACACCTCTGCATCTTCTTGGGGCTAGGGGTACTCCAGTGTGAGAAACATGGCAAACTGACCTTTCCAAAGGACGCTTCTTGCTTTAGAGATTTAAAAAAAAAAAAAAAAGAAGAAAGAACGAACCTATCTAGTGCCTCTTTGATTACCATCTGCTCTACTGCCTGGGGGTTAATTATCCACATAGAAAATTCTCCCTGGCAGCTTCGAGTCAACCAGCCAGCCAGTTTGACAACATAATCATACATTGGTGAGGATGGCGAGCTTGTGTCTGCCTGTGTATGTCTGATCATATTCAACAGGAAATGGTCATAGTGTTAGGATCACTCATTGTGTCCTGAGCATAATTTGCACTCTCCACGAGCCAAGTATTTTCTGTAAACACAAAACACAGAATTTAAGGGAGGCGTAGAAATAAGACCTATTTTTCTCCCCAAATCTGGAATTCTGTACAAATGACTATCCCAGGTTGCAGTTTATTCAAAGTAAACCTGCCATCCATGCTTTTGGTGCTAGACAGGGATGTCGGCACGTACATACACAGCCCTGCTTTTCCCATTCCAGGTGGACAGTATCTGACAGTGTCAGGAGCCAAAGGCCCAGGGGGAAAAGCCGCTCGCTTGGTGCTATCTCTCGGCCACCTCATGCATTCAGGGGACCTGTGCCTGTCGTTCAGGCACAAGGTGACGGGGCTGCACTCCGGCGCGCTCCAGGTGTTTGTGAGAAAACACAGTGCCCATGGAGCAGCCCTGTGGGGAAGAAATGGTGGCCATGGCTGGAGGCACACACAGATCACCTTGCAAGGGGCTGACGTCAAGAGCGTAAGTAGAACTGCAAAGGGGGCAGAGCCTGGGAAGTTTTCCTTTCATAGGAGAACTCTGGGATCTGAATCTGAAGAAGCCTTGTTCTCTTCATGCATTCAGGCACAAAGGTTTGTGTTTTTCTGGGTATGAGAACTCTGTTCTTTGCCTCTTCCTGTAATCCCTTTTTGCTGCTGCTTACATTCTTCACTGCAACCTATGACCACCACCACTCTGCCCCAGTCCTGGTGAAAAGCCCCTATTTTTAATGGAAAAAAAAAAATCAGGAATTAAAAAAGAAAAAGGTAACAACTTGAAAGGGTAGAGATGGTGAGCTTAACTGTACCCGCTTTTCCTTTTTCTGCAACGCCTTTACTTTTCAGAGTTACCCTGTTTTGTTTTTGTTTCTTTTGAAATATTTCTTTAAAGTCTAATTTTGCCTCAGAGATCATAGTTAAGCAGCCTTGGGTGGAGACCGAGAACAATATGCTTGGGAAGTCCTATTCAGGACAGGATGTGGGAAAGCTTTGATTGAATATATAAATTTTATCTTAAGTAATCAAGTCATAGGTAGCAATAAATGATCTGTAGCATCCCACCAAAATAATGTATTTGGGAAAGCATATTTATGTTCATATTCATAAAACTTGCTATTAGGAGATTCTGCATCTATGACTATAGGTGTGGTTTCTAGAAACTACGTTAAAAGGGATAGACTCCATTAATACAGCTTTTATCTTAAATTTGTTTTACCCTTTGAAAAAATATTATTTGGAATAATAAAGTCATTTCAAATTACAGCATAGAAAGGTTTCTGTTTTTAAAAGAGCAAGGATGCTCTAAAGAAGAAGATAAAAATACAAGAAAGTGTTTGTACTTTACATAAGTAACAACATAACAACACTGTGATTGGATTGTGGTGTCCGGTTCAAACCCATTTTAGGCAACAAAGCCAGCTTAACCCAAGCAAATGTCTAGGATAGGCTGCATGATTATGATCTTCCAGATCTTCAGCTCTTATTTCTACATCTTTATATTCTATCTTTTTTTTTTTTTTTTTTTACTTCTAACCTTGGTAATCTTTGGCAAAGTGTCCACTTCATAAGCATTCCTAAATTGAAGTAGTCTGTCGTTCAGAATTGCTTTTTTTAAAGAGTAACTGCTTCTGAGTGATGTGGTCTGATTAATAGTTTACTGATGATTTGAGTTTCTACCAAAAGGCAAGCCTCAGGTGACACTGGTTATGTTCTAGTCTTTCCTTCTGTTGAGTAAGTTCACTATTTGGTTTGGGGGAAAGTTTGCCTTCATTTTGCGAAACGAGTGGGCATTGGGAAGGGGCAGAGGAGGCTTGACTGGTGTGTGCGTTCTCTCCCCAGGTCATCTTCAGAGGTGAAAAAAGGCGTGGCCACACTGGGGAGATTGGATTGGATGATGTGAGCCTGAGAAAAGGCCATTGCTCTGAAGAACGCGAGCAACTTCCGAACTAGCAATGAATTCCCCTGTTGCTCTTTTCTTTTTCCAATCTTCACCTCCTGTCCTCTCCTCCCTCTTATCAGGCCTAGGAGAAGAATGGGTCAGTGGGTCAGGAGAAAGTGGTGGGTGACCCACACCGCGTGGCCTGCTTTTGTGCAATTCCAATAAACTGTGACACCCTCCTTGAAATACAAGGGGCGCCTGTGGGCGCATCCAAGCCAGCTTTGGGTGTTACCTTCCAGGCTACAGCTCTTTTAGGAAGGCCTTGGGCACATGTGCCATCCTTCATCCTGGTTACGAGGTGTTCCTAGTAGCAAATTATGGGAGAAGTTTTCAAAAGAAATGCGTGCAAATGACCATTCTATTATCTGTTTAGTGTTGTACCATGAGTAGTATTGACTTTCCCTAAGCTATGTTGTACAATGTGCTTGTGAAATTGGTTTCTCCCCTTCACTTGTAGCTCTGGCCTGACCTGAACTCTGACTTTTACTGCCATTCACTTTATAAAAGAAGGGTGTGTAACATATCAAGATGCATTTATTCTCATTATCTGTATTTTTCTTTTAAAGACAATTATGTAGAGTGGGCACGTAATCCCTCGTTAGTAGTGTGTTTTGTGTAAATGTGCTATTGATATTAAGTAGTTACGTGTTCCTAATATTTACAGACTCTAGTTGCAAGGGAAAAGGCAGCTTGGGATCTCTTGAATTAAAAACTACCCAGTGAAATGTCATCCAGTGCCATGACTTTATTTTGGCAGCAAGAGAAAATCGGAAGAGATGTCAGGTGTGGTAGTGGAGGGATGAAGTTTTTCACGGCCTTGAGTCTGATCACTGTACAGGATAGTGAACCATTCAGGTAGACAGGAAACTGCAGTTACCATATAAAACCCTCACCGTTTCAGGTTATACTTTAAAACCAACAGTTTTTACAATAACGTGGCTCTCTCTGGTAATCTGTAAAAAGCTCTGTAAAAGCTCTGGTTGTTTCAGAGAAAAGATTCTGTTTCTGGAAGGGCAAGGGGAAGCATGGGGGAAGGTCTGTTGAAACAGATTTTTCATACTAATTTTTAAGTCCATATATACATTTAGGCAGGTCTAGCTCATAACTGTGCTGTCTTGTCAGAACGGGATTGGAAGCAAGTCCTGTGCTCGGAGGCATTTTGTTGGATTCACACACACGTCAGAGCAAGAGGACAAGATGGGAATTCTAGGATCTAGGAACCCCTAACTATATTTCCTCCCTGGATATTTTACATTCATATTAAAAAATACACGACTTTTATAAGGCAACTTACTCCTGAGGCTTTTCTTCATTTCTGATTAATCAAAATATTTTCTGCTGTTTTTGCCAGGAATCACAAAGATGATTAAAGGGTTGGAAAAAAAGATCTATGATGAAAAAGTAAAGGAACTGGGATTATCCAGCATGGCGAAGAGAAGACTGAGGGGCAAACCATTGCTGGTTTTCCAGTGTATGGATGGTTGGAACAGAGAGGATGGTGACCAGCTCTTCTCCATATGTGCTAAGAATAGAACAAGAGGAAACAGGCTTAGACTGGAGTGCGAGGGGGCATTTCCTGGCAGGGACAATTGTTAAATTAGAATCCTTTGTTTAAGAAAAAAAGTGAATCTCCCTCTCCCTCTTCTCTCTCTTTTTGAGGCTTTTAAAAAATTAGATGAAAATCTGTCTATTTAAGATTGTTAAAGATGTTCTTATGTCAAGGTAGAGTAACAGAATCTTCTGAAAGATGTTTTGATCCTATTAATATGTAACGAAAATCTTCAGAACAGAGTCATTTGGATGAGGCCAGGGTCTTATTTAGGCATTTACCTCTTGGCCCCTAATGGAGGAGAATCAAAAGGGGAAAAGCCCACCAAGTGCAGAGCTCACTAAAAGACCTCTCTATGGCAAACCTAGCAGGATTAAAACAGGAAAAAAAAAAAAGACAAACTCATATTTTTAAAAGAATATGATGGACGTGTATTTTAGTATCTTAATATCCTAATGTGGTAGGGTTCATTTTTTTTTTCTTGGTAAAGGTATAACCTTTCACTTGCTCAGTGGATGATATTTTAGGTTTTAAAAGAGACCATAGTAAGGAACAGAGGTTAGAGAGTTTTTTATCTGGTGCATTCTCTCTACAATGTGTGTGACAACTTAACTTGGCCACTAAGAAAGAGTTCCCTGCTCAACACCACTGTCCGGATTGTTGCTTCACCAAACCACTGTAATTCACTTTTCTTTTATCAATTGGAATCTCCCAAGTTCCACAAAATGGTAACTTTTTTTTTTTTTTTTCAAAAATAGTTACAACAGAATATCTTTTGTCATTTAACTTGGTGGAGGCAGGACCGGAGCAGGATGTAAAGCAGTGAGCCTTCGAGTAAGGGCCAGGCAGTAGGGCTTTAGATCCATTTTTAGTGATTCATTTCCTTTGTGGTCCTATAACTGCACAACTGAAGAGGAAAGGGGGAAATAATTGAAAATGTCACTTTTAGGTGCCAATACTACATTGCACTAAACTGACAGAAGTTATCCAAAGTACTGTATAACATCTTGTTTATTATTTAATGTTTTCTAAAGTGAAAATGTTAGTGGTTTTCCAAACAGCCAAATAAAAATAATTCTTTGTAAATAAAAGCACTATTAATGTTGCCTGTTGTCTATTAGTGTTTTCAGTTTTGTTTTGTTTTTGATTGGGAGAATATTGGAGTAGTTTGAATATTGTAGAACCACCTTTTACTTCTTGGGAGACTGGGAACAAAACTGTTGCCCACAACAGGATGCTTTCTAGGCTATGAAATAGGGGAGACCCTTTTATCCTTTCCCTGCCCAGGGAAAGAGATCAGAGGATCACTGTAGCAACGTGTCATACCTTGGCAAATTGCTTTGTTTTCTTGTATCTCACTTAGTTGTAGACATTAGCCTCAAGTCCTTTCATGGGAAGGCAGGATAAGCTAGAATATATGAATATATATGAATTCTAAGTGAAAAGTCTTTTACTAGTGTTGGTTTTGTTAACTTACAGTAGTTTATCTTATCCTAATAGCCTTTCCTGATGGAGAAAACTATAAGGAAATGAACCTAGTGAAATCATGCAGGATGTTTATAGCAGCATTATCTACAATAGTCAAGTTATGGAAAGAGCCCAGATGTTCATCAACTGAGGAATAAAGAAGATGTGGTATATATATGTATATATACACAATGGAATATTATTCAGCCATCAGAAAAGAATGAAATCTTGCCATTTGCAATGACGTGGATGGAGCTAGAGGGTATTACGCTAAGTGAAGTAAGTCAGAGAAAGACAAAGACCTTATGATTACACTCATATGTGGAATTTAAGAAACAATCATGGGGAGGAAGAAAGAGGATAACTCAAAAACAGACCCTTAACTATAGAGAACAAGCTGATGGTTAGAGGGGAGATGGGTGGGGGGATGGGTAACATAGGTGATGGGGATTAGGAGGGCACTTGCTGTGATGAGCACCAGGTGTTGTATATAAGTGTTGAATCACCAAATTTTACACCTGAAACTAACATTACAGTTTACGTTAACTGGAATTTAAATGAAAACAATAAAAAGAACAAAAGATCCAGCCTTAGAATGCTGCCAAATGGTAGGAGACCTGCTGGAACTTTCCACTGGTCAGAGGGGCTGGTGAGGGCCATGGCTTACACTCCACATCCACCTCGATAGCATGGATGAAAGTGGTCCAGGTGCCCAAGCCAGCTTCCCATGTCAGAAGCCCTGGACCCCTAGCCCACATCAGCACCAGCAGCTCCACACTGAGGCAGCCCCAGCACAGCACAGCACACAATGGGACATCCCTGGTCAGCATTCACTACAGCTCCAGCTGTCTCACCAAACTAACAGGTAAAATGCAGCCCAGAACACTCCAGGTCTATACCACTGCAACCCCAGACAACTTGCTAGGGTGCCCCATGCATGGAGCACCTCAAGACCCCATGGCCCACACTGCACCTCAGCTCCAGCTGCCCTGTGAGGGAGCTCTCTCTGCAGAAGGCTTCAGGACACACTGGCTTGCACCCACTTCAGCTTCAGCTATCCTGCCAGCATGCTCTCTGTGTGGAGAGCCCTAAGACCTCCCCCAGCCCACGTCCACTTCAGCTCCAGCCATCCCACTAGGGACCTCCAAGCTCAAGCCAGCCACAGTTCCAGCCAGCCAAACTTAACAAATGCACAGTTTACACAGGGGATAACCATACACAAACCAATCCTTCAAGTTTTAGAAGTAGCTGTTATGCTTAATTTATAGAAATAAACACAGAAAGTCAAGCAAAATGTGGAGACAGAGGAATATGGTCCAAATGAAAAAAATAAGACAACCCCACATACACAAAAGTAAATGAAATGGAGATAAGCCATATTCCAGATAAAGAGTTTAAAGTAATGATCATAAAGATGCTCACTGGACTGGAGAGAAGAGTGGAAGAACTCAGAATTTCAACAAAGATATAAAATGTAAAAAAGAACTAATCAGAATTGAATACAATAATTGAATGAAAAATACACTAGAGGGAATCAACAGTAGATTAGCAAATGCAGAACAGTGTTCTGGAAGACAGGGTCGTGGAAAGCACCCAAGCTGAACAACAAAAAGTAAAAAGAATTTTTAAAATAAGGTTAGGTTAAGGGATCTCCTGGACAACATCAAGTGAACAAACATTTGCATTAGAGGGGTCCCAGAAGAAGAGGCAGAAGAGAAGGGCCAGAAAACTTTTTTTTTTAAGATTTCATTTATTTGAGAGAGAGAGAATGAGAGATAGCACGAGAGGGAAGAGGGTCAGAGGGAGAAGCAGACTCCCTGCTGAGCAGGGAGCCCAATGTGGGACTCGATCCCGGGACTCCAGGATCATGACCTGAGCCGAAGGCAGTCGCTTAACCAACTGAGCCACCCAGGCGCCTGGAGAAGGGCCAGAAAACTTATTTGAAGAAATAACAGCTGAAAACTTCCCTAACCTAGGGAAGGAAATGGACGTCCAGGTTCAGGAAGCACAGAGTTCCAAACAAGATGAACCTAAGGAGGTCCATACCACAATACGTAATAATTAAAACATCCAAGATAATAGAAATAATTTTAGAAGTCGCAAGAGAGAAGCAAAAACTGACATGAGGGAAACCCTGTAAGGCTGTTTTTTTTCAGCAGAAACTTTGCAGGGCAAAAGGGGGTGGCATGATATATTCAAGCACTGAGAGGAAAAAACCTACAACCAAGAATACTCTACCCAGCAAAATTATCATACAGAATTGAAGGAGAGTTTCCCAGAAAAATAAAAGTTAAAGGAGTTCATTACCACTAAGCTGACCCCTTATAAGAAATAAAGGGACATCTTTAAGTGGAAAAGGCCATAATTAGATGTAAGAAAATTATGAATAAAAAGATATAAAATATGACAACACATATAAAACATGGAGGAGGGAGTAAAAAAGAATGTTTTTTAGAATGTGTTTGAACTTAAGTGACCATCAGTTTAATATAGACTGCAATATACTTAGGATGCTATATATGAACCTCATGGTAACCACAAACCCAACACCTATAATAGATACACAAAGAAAGAAAGCCAAGCATAACACTACAGAAACTCAATCACAAGGAAAGAGAACAAAAGAAAAAAGGAACAGAGGAGAACTATAAAAACAACCAGAAAACAGTTAACAATATGGCAATAACACCTATAAATAATTACTTTAAATGTAAATGGTCTAAATATGCCAATAAAAAGACATGGGGTGGCAGATAGG